GAACCCCTCCAGACCCAAGAGACAGACCAACCAGCTGCAGGTAAAACATCCACTCTTATTCTGAAGGATTGAGATAGAGATGAGGCTACGCTACTGTTATTAGCTTGCTTTTAAAAATAAAAGTTTAATAGAGTTACTTAAACCTAACAGGAAGCTTAAGAAGGGACATGTTTTCAAAATAAAAGCCCCATAGAGTTACTGTATCCTTAGAGCAGTGTTTCTCAAACTTTTTCATACCAAGGACCACTTAACCAATACAAATATTATATATATAAAAAATATATTCCTGCGAGAGTGCGGAAAACTTCAAATCTGAAATGTTACCAATATACTCACGGACCATTAGGGGGTGCTCACGGACCACCAATGGTCCCGGACCACACTTTAAGAAGCACTGCCTTAGAGGCTTGTTTTTCAAAATAAAAGTTTCATAGAGATACTGTATCCCTAGAGGCTGGTTTTTAAAAAATAAAAGCCCCATAGAGATACTGTATCCTTGGAGGCTTGCTTTTCAAATTAAAAGTGACTGTATCCTAACTGGACGCTTACTGAGGGACATGTTTTTCAAAATAAAAGCCCCAAAGAGTTGCTGTATTTCTAGAGGCTTGTTTTTCTAAATAAAAGCCCCATAATGTTATTGTATCCTTTGAGGCTTGTTTTTCAAAATAAAAGTTTCAAAGAGTTAATGTATCCTAACGGGAAGCTTAAAAAGGCTCATGTTTTTCAAAATAAAAGCCCCATACAGTTGCTTTTGGCCCTGACTATATACTAACTGTATCATTACAGTGTACTCAGGAACGGTCACATGGAGTATCTCGTATACTTACGGCAAGCTCCGGGTCGAAGTATATAAATAAAAGCGCAGGAAAGAAACTATATTTTTACAGGGTCTCAAGTTATGGTTTATTTTTCTAAATAAAAGCCCCACAGAGTTACTTTATCCTCAAAGGAAGCTCAGCTAGAAGCATGTTTTTCAAAATAAAAGCCCCACAGAGTTACTATATTGTCATAATTTCATACGATCACCTGTACAGCGCTACTTGTGCTTGTAATTAAATGTTTGTGTGATTTTGGTCTTTTCCAGTTCCTGCTTAAAGAGGTGTTTAAGATGTTGTCGAAACATCACTTTGCGTGGCCCTTCCTGGCTCCTGTAGATGCCATCAAGCTGGGCTTACCTGTGAGTCACACCTCTCGCATGAACACCTCACACACATATCTTTATTTATTCTACATTTTCGACTTCTTTTAAATGCCTTTGTCTGAATGTCTTTCATTTTTGTATAGCAGCTTGCCTTACAGAAAAACATGCATTTCTTTCCCCCTCTCAGCTGGAGAGGTTGTTGTTCTGTAGATCTTACAACCAAGAGGAGACACTTCTTTCAGTCTCTGCAATCTGTCGCTAATGTTTATTGATTAGCATCTCCTTAAGTGCCTTCTATCTACTCGTAGCCTTTTCCTCAGTCTCCTTCTCACACACTTCCCTTCTCCTTCAGGACTACTACAAGATCATCAAGATCCCGATGGACATGGGCACCATAAAGAAGCGCCTGGACAGCCACTTCTACTGGAACGCTCAGGAGTGCATTCAGGACTTCAACACCATGTTCACCAACTGCTACATCTACAACAAGGTTAGCATCACATCTGTGTATCCTCATGTATGAAGTCAACACAAAGAGTCTCAGTCATCTGACCCTAAAGCTGGGAAGACCCTTCAGATGGAGCATTCATTCTCAGATAGGAGAATACTGATCTAATAGCAGAGTTCGTTTCTTCAATCAACTTTTTTAAGCGAAAAATCTTAATTGTCATTTCCCTTTTCCAGGAATCTCATGAGTTTGGGCAGAATAATACATTTCTAATGTTAAAGAAATAAAAACCATTCTCAGTTAAGAATGAGATATTAATGATTAACGCCTTCTTATGTTTCCAGTGTGAAGGCTGTCAAACAGGTTGAATCCATTTCTCCCTTATTCTCCGAAGGAACTGAACCCACTGAAAACAATAACTCATCTCTTCAGATTCATGTGCTCGGGAGCTGTGAGCTATTCAACACCGTCAGTGACGACAGGCGGGGATTCCCCCCTCTGATTGGCTTTAAGAGACGGTCTCACGCCAGTTTATCGCTCGAGTTGAGAAAAATGTAATTCACGTATATTAACCTCTTTACATTGTGTGTGTGTGTGTGTGTGTGTGTGTGTGTGTGTGTGTGTGTGTGTGTGTGTGTGTGTGTGTGTGTGTGTGTGTGTGTGTGTGTGTGTGTGT